AAAGAAAGTTGAAATAATAAATTTTATGTTATGTGTATTTTACCATAGTTCATAAGCTGTAATGCAGGCTCCATGTTCATAGATCAGGTCCATCCCTAGTGCCTAGGACAGGTTGGGTAGACAAACTACTATTTTTTAGAGTGGAGGATTCAAACTGTTTGAGTAAGGAGCGAGCTGGCACATGGACCTTGCCCAGGATGGTCTCTTAAACCCTAGGCTCAGTCTTCCTGTCTCATCCTCCCCTGTAGATGGAAACACCGGCTGCTACCACTGCTTCCTCCCTCGCTATGCTGATAACAGACCCCAGGGCCTCACACTTGCTAGGTAAGTGAACTATGCCCCTGGCCCCATAACTTTGGAACCAAAGGAAAATCTGAGTAAAACATTTAAATCCAGCTCAGGTCTGGGGATGGTCGCTCTGATTACACCTCAGGTGTAAACAAGTTATGGGGAGAGGGGTCATGGCCCCCCAGAAGCCTTCCTGGTCCTGCTGAGGCAGACTCACCTGGGTTTTCTCCCCCGAGAGAGGAAGTGCCTCTTGCTGATCCAGCATCCGGGCAATAACTGTGAGGCTCAGTTGGCTGCGAAGCTGCCTGGGAGAGAAGAGCAAGAGTCTGAGTGGGGTAGGGAACGTTCTGGAAAGAATGGGGAAGACAAGCTCTCCAAAAAGCAAGGACAGTACTTTTTTCTTTGGAGCTGTAACCCCTCAGATCTGCATGTATCTGTAGATCTGTATGGGTGAAAGGAAGGTCTACTCAAAATTGGACCAACATTCCTACCTTTGCGTAACAAATACGTACAGACAGAGACAAAACCAGGTGTGGCTCAGTGGCAGAGCATAGCATGCAGGAGACCCTGGGGACCGAACGTACTTAAAAAGGAATAATCTGAGAAGAAGAATGTGGTGATGGAAGGGTTAAAACAACTGAGGAGAATAAAACATGCAGATAGAGGGGGAAAGCAACCTGGAGAAAACACCTTCCCTTCTCTGTTCTCTTTGTCCTGCCCAATACACTGACTCTCAAGTTTCAAAGGACTTCACGCAGGGTGGGTGATTGGCCCCTTGAGACCAGGCTTCATTGTTTTTTGTTTGTTTGTTTTTTGTTTTCACCCACTATTTGGAGAACTTTCCTTTGGGATCCCCCTCCTACCATCCTGACCAGATCCAGGCTCCCGGATACACCTGAGAACTACTCAACCACCCGAGCAGCCCTTGGGTCTTGGTTGGACAACTAAGAGAGTATAAATAACTTCCCTGTGGGGGTAGCTAATGTGACAGCTGGTCACCTTATAGTGCTGGTTGTTCTTCTGTCTCCCAGTGGGACCGACTTCATAGGGGCCAGTAAAGAGAACAAGGGAGACAGCGCCCCAGGAATGCCTGGAGCCACCAGCCCGTTTCTAGACCATTCGCTCCCTGAGCTGCTTGTGAGCCAGCACAGGCCTCCTGCTTCAGTCAGCCGAGCTGGGTGTCTGAGGCCAGCCATAAGGCAATACTTAGTCAGTGCTGACTCAGGACTGAGCCGTCCTCTAGTCAGGAAAGAAGACCCCAGCGGGGCTTCGGATGTTAACGCCTGGGTCCCTTAAGCACTTGGGAGAGTGAGGAACAGAGGAAGGAGGAAACCAGAGGGTGGGGCTGAGAGTTGTCCCCTAGGACCTTTGAGACCAGGTGACAGGACAAACTCCTCACAGGTCAAACTCTGTAATTAATCACCTGAGCCTCGCTGGGGAGATTGCAACATGTCCTTCCACGTATGTCCACACATTGGTCTCCGGGTGGTAGTCAGCCCTTGACTGGGATTATTTACTTATACATTTATTTATTTTGACAAGCCTTATGCATGCCACACAGGTGCCATGCCACAGAGTTTCATTCTCTTGTTGAGGTTTCTCTGTGTAACAGCCATGGCTGTCTTGGAACTCTGTAGACCAGGCTGGCCTTGAACTCACAGAGATCTGCCTGCCTCTGGCTCCCCAGTGTTGGGATTAAAGGCCACTGCCCAGCCAGAGTTTCATTCCTATCTCTTCTGGAGGGACTTGTGGCCACCACCCAGTGCTAAGTAACCCACTCAGGAGGGAACCCAGTTGGGCTTCGGATGCCGCTGTCTTGAACCATGCCAGGGAGTAAAATGAAGAGAGAAAGGGAAAGCTATGAAAGGCCTAGAAGTTAAGTGTGATGGAAAATGTGTCTGGGATTGGGCTTTTAGAGGAGAAATGCTCGCAGGTAACAGTGCTGTTGGAAGGCCCTCGGAGAGGGGCCCTCAGCCGCATCCCTGGAAAAGACACGGGGACCAGAAAGACCAGATGTGGACGAGGCAGGTGCTAGGGAAGGCTTCCTTGAGGAGGAAGCCTGGCCACTTCAGTTGGTACTGTCGGCTCCAGAGCAACGTTCCCAGGGCCACACCTGCCTTAGTGATGGAGTGCTGAGGCAGGCCTCCACCAAGCTGAGAAGACTGGGATCGGACACAGGGTCTGAGCTCTGCAGGCTCTGTTGATGTTTCTTAAGGAAGAGTCAAAAAGAATCAGCGAAGCAGGGGGTTCTTAATTTAAAAGAAGAGCAGCAGGTGGTGGCGGCACACATCTGAAGGGCTATGGGGGGAGGACAAATGGCCACTCAGAGAGGGGACCATAATGTGCTCACAGAGCTGACAGGAAGGGACACGACCCCTTTGGAAAACAAGAGATTTACCGAGGACATGCACACATTTAGACCGCGATTCTGAAGTCAAGTCCTGCTACAAACGGAAGTCAGTGTGAGAATTCATGATCATCAAGTCTGAAATGGACTCCTGGAGGTAGAGGTCCTGGTGACCCTGGGGTATGCCCACGTTGTCCTCTCTCTCCCAATCTGGGTGTTAGTTTCACGTTTTTGACTCGGGAAAACTCCACTGAGACATGCTCAATGGTCTGTTTGTACACTGTAGTTCAGGAAAGCTGTCATACTAAAGAGATTCAGCTGGAGGGGGACTTCGGTTTGTCGGATTTAGCAAATTAAAATATAGGATGTCCTGTTAAGCACAAATTTCAGATAAAGAAAGAACCTGTTTTTCTTTGTGTTTTAAAAGACTGCTGTGGGGCTGGAGAGATGGCTCAGCGGTTAAGAGCACTGGCTGTTCTTCCAGAGGACCTGAGTTCAATTCCCAGCACCCACATGGTGGCTTACAACCATCTATAATGTGATCTAATGCCTTTTTCTGGCCTGCAGACATAAATGCAGGCAGACCACTGTATACATAATAAATAAATCTTAAAAAACCAAAACGCTGTGTTACGGTTGTATTTGTACTGCATCTGGCAAGTGAAGAGGAAACCAGCCGTCCTCCATTTTTGACTGGGAAGACAGAATTCTGCCTGGTTTTAGCCTTGATCTCTTTTTGCAGGGTATGCTGGGGGCTCCCACAGCTTCCCCAGTACTCTGAGAGCCAGAGTGAGCTCTAGAGAGTTGACGACAGGCAGCTACCATCTGAGCTGAGCCATAGAAAGTTGAGTCAGAAGCTCCGTCTCTGCTCCTCCACGGCCCCCGCTCTAGGTCCTGCCTGAACCCCAGCTTCCTCCTCATCACGTACCCAACCCTCTGTGGCCTGCCTGTAGCTGGGACCTGTTTTCCAGCTGTTCCTGGGGTCTAGGATCCGGCAGCAGCTGGGCCCAGACACAGTGGGAGGTAAATGGCTCCTCCAAGCTGCCGCTGCTGTGCTACAAACCTTACTGCCAGAGTCGGGAGGCCGGCATCTGGGCTTCATTAATCCCCCCCACACCACGGCCCACAGCGGGTGGGGAGGGGCCGGCCCGGGAGAGAGAGGGCCAGAGCTGGCAGGCCTCAGAGCAGCACTGGGGGCGGATCCAGAAGGGAAGAGGTGGGTGAGTGTGTGGGGTGTGGTGGGGGTCACACCAGGGCTGCAATCTAAAAAACAAAACAAAAAACAAAAAACAAAAAAAACAAAACACCAAACTAAAATAAAACAAAACAAAAACAACCAAACAGCAGACTATTGAGGGGGTGAGTGGATGTAAGGAGCCCACATCTAAGAGTCGAGCCCCCCACGCTGGCACTGCCTGTCTGTCTGTCTGCTGCCCACAGTCTTCCTGACTCTCCTTCCTCAATTCTCAGTCCCACTGAGAAACAGGGACAGGGGGCCACTTTTGAATTGGACAGATGGAGAGTTTGGAAGGGAAAAAGCAGAGGCGACCCACCCAAAATACCACCCCAGCTGTGCAGGGGGCAAGCAGAGAGCCCTGCCCAGACTGTGGGCTCTTTTGTCCACAGAAACTGCCTCACCCCACCTGGCAAAGCTTTTCCAGAACTCAAACCAGGCAGGCAAAGGAAGATGCAGAAGGCACTGGCACCCTCCCTGCAGCAGTGTCATATAAGGCAATAGGTTCCAGCACAGTGCTCAGGCCAGACCAGGCCAGGCCAGTGTTGGGCTCTGTCCCGCCTACCTCCAAGGGGCCTCTGTAAGACCAGGACACTGGATCGGCACACAGAGGCACCCAAGGCACTAGGAAATGAGGAACAATGTTCTTTTCTAAACCTAGGGCAGAGGATTCAGGTACTCTGCTGTCTGGGCAGTTCTCACAAGGGACTGGCCGCTGCAGGAGCATCCAGGAAGGCAGTGTCCCACTGGAATGTTGTTAGGACAGCATCCACAGGCCAGGCCAGCATCCCGCCCTCCCGCCACCCCACAGTGCTCTGTCTTCACTCCCTCAGAAGGGAACCAGGCCCTGCTGAGGCTGAACTGCCCTAAAAGGCTACCAGGCATCTGGCCAAAGGCGTGAGCTGCCTTTTCCAATGGGTCCAGGGCAGCCCAGGATGCAGCAGCCTTGGCCTGTTCCTCTATGGAAATGCTGCCCGACACCTTGCTGCATGGTGTCTGGCGTGGCCTACATCTCCAGAGCTACAGACACCTGTCCGACCACTGGTTCCTTGGTCCCTGATGGGAATCATCTTTTTCTGATATTGTTTTTGCTTTTTCAAGGCCTTTTGATCCCTTTGAATTCCCTCTCCTGTATGCAAGGTGGGGGGGAGGGGGTGTTTTTTTTTTTTTTTTTTTTTTTTTTTTTTGAGACAGGGTTTCTCTGTGTAGCGCTGGCTGTCCTGGAACTCACTCTGTAAACCAGGCTGGCCTTGAACTCAAGAGATCCACCTGCCTCTGCCTTCTGAGTGCTGGGATTAAAGGCATGCGCCACACTGCCCTGTGGGAATTATCTTGAATGTAAGTGTGTGCTCTCCAGGCAGGAAGCACCAGGGTTTGGGCTCAGCAGTTTGTGGACTCTTTCCTAATACCTCCGCTTCCATCCTGCCTGCATCTGCAAGCCATGGTCACCACGCAGTCTGGTTATCCACTTGTGTTGTACAATCATGTGGAAGAGGTGGAGGGGAGGAGGAGGAGGAGGAGGAGGAGGGGCATGCACAGTGTGGACTGAAAGAGAGGGACATGTTGACCATTGATCTGGACACCAGATGGCCACACAGCAAGACGAGGCTACAACCACTCACATCACACACACGCTGTTCTCCACGATGTGTGTGAGCCCAGGAGCCTGCTGCACGGGCCCATCTCCAGCAGAGTTCAGAAACAGTCAGATGAAAGATCACCAG